ATCATTCGGCTAATTTTTATCAGGTGTTTCAGGAATTATGATAATAGCTGTAATCAATAAACTAACACACATAGTTATGGGGAAAAAACGAAAATTTACTGAGAAAGATAACTGACATATCAGCTATATTCACAGTCGGTATGTTAGTTATTCTTTCCCAGTAAACTTTGTTTATGCCAAATTACTGTAATCGATTTATTCATGCATTATCTCAGGATTAATAAAAATTAAAAGATAAAAATATAAATTAAATAAAAAAATCGAAAAAATAATAAAATAAAAATAAAACATAAATAAAAAAAATGAAATTAAATAAATAAATTGAGGAGAATTAAAAATACGGTAAATGAAAATCAACTATTGCACTTCGAACTTATTTTTAATGATTGTTGATATACATAGTGTAATAATTTTACCGTTTATACTCTGGCCTTAATATGTTACAAGAGCCAATGTTTTTGACTATAAGTTCATCGGGCCTTATCAGACTTTCTTATGAAGCCTGAGCCCGGCCCGGCCCGTCCCGCACCCTAGTTAATATTACCAATTTCGCAGTTAATTGTTGATACTTTATAGATATAAATGTTATTGTGTGAGAGTTTTGAGGTATTTGGTATATGATGAGTCACATATGGGTTGTTGCATAGCAAAACCATGCTTAGAGTATTATATTTTATATGTTCTAAGCATGGTTTTGCTGCGCAACAACCCATATGGTAGTAAGAATTTCATCCATAACTCCACCCTAATAAAAAATAAGTTAAAATAAAATAAATTATTAAAAGATTATAATAGATGATTTATTTTACTGGCGTGAAGTTAATTTGATAATAATTTTTGTGTAGAACAAAAACTAAATTTCAAAAACATGTGGAAATACATTATAATAATATACAGTACTGTATAAGTTATTTTAGTAATAATATTGGATGACTATTCGTTGAAAGGTCGTCCTATAGAGTTGGATTATGAAATAAGTTGTGAAAGTGACCTTTTTACGCATATGCTATAATATATTATCATGTGCTATAAAGTAATGTTACGATCTTTAAAAGAACTTTATTATTATTATTTTTTATTAAATTTATTTTCTAATGATTAATAGTGATTTATATACCGTATTTTCGCGTAATAAGCGTTTTTAGAACCACGGCCGCATAAATTTGGTCAAATTCTGATATTACACCCCTGCGCGTTATTTTGCGAAAATATGATAAGTGCAAAATTTAACTTGGGTGGCGTAACTGAATTAATTTGTGATAACTAGCTACTCAAAGTTAAAATGTCAGAGCTTGCTCGTCTTTACTAAAGATTACAACTTGAGAATATGATCTTTAGTAAGAGTGGCCAACTTATAAATAAAATTAAGAATGCATACTTATACTAAAGATTACCAAAGATTACCAAAAATATTATGACAGAGGGAAGAAGAGAAAAAAAACATTGATCTTTAGTAACGGTGAGCAGTTTAACATCAAAGTTTTTTCTTATAAATTCTAAAACAAATGAGAAATTTCTGAATTTGAAATTTAAGACCTATATGAATTCACTAACGCAAAAAATAAAATTATAAGTAACTGAATTTAATAATAATAAGTAATTTGTGGCATAATTTATGTATCGCAAAATCAAATTTATCAATGTTTTCGAAACGGTTGAAAATAGCAATATTTACAAAAAATATATTTTTTTGCAAATATTCGAATACTTTTGATTAGTTTAGAATATTGATCACTATTATATAGATTTGTTCTAAACTAATCGAGTAATTTTCAACCATTTCGAAAAACAGCAAATAATTTATATGGTTGCAGCATAACGATAATAAACCACGTACGTATGTGTACAGTACAAGAAAATTTTCATATGATTTGAAACAAACCTACATGAGATAAATCATGTATTCGTTGTTCAAAAAAAAAAAAAAATTCAAATAACTTCCAAATATTATTTTTTTATCCTATAGATATAACAAATCGATAAGAATTGTTCTAGATTTGCACTAGTACAATTCAACACAACACAAGCTCAATATCAAGCTCAAGATCAAGAACATAAAAAATTAACTAAAATCATTTCTTAGTGTTTATTAAATTATTATTAATCAAAAATTAAAGAAGTTTGACACACACTAACTACAACGTCAAATATCTCTTAAAAGAGTAAATAAAAATAATATATAAATCAAGTTTATTTTAAAAAGTTTAAAATAGTAAATGTTAAAAAAAAATGGTATATTTATTACGTCTTATCGATTATATAGGTTTAATTTACATTTAACTTTTTAATACGTATTATGTAAAATTAGATTTGGTAAGAATCTTCAGATAACACCGCTTCAACAATGTATTCATCCAAGAATTAATTACACAGTTTCATGCCTGAAATTGATTATTCATCTTCGGAATTAGTTCCCTGAATTATTTTTATGCATTTACTGATGTTTGATGACGCGTTCCTTATTTAACTAACTTAACATTCAGTAGTTACCAGTTACGTACATAAGTCATACGTATGTACCTACGTATAATCCATCAATTAATAATCAATTAATAATCAATTAATTATCAATTAATCATCAGTTCATAAAAATACGAATCTTCAGTCTAGTCTAGGCAAGGACTACTTTAGACTTTTCGTATTAATTAATTTTCACGACTTATATAATTATTTCAAATCATTAATTTAAAAATTTAAATATTCGCTATTAAAGTCAATATGCCAAGACCTAGAAGGACTCGAGTAGCAAAGCTCAAAAAGGTTGCAGGTAAGTAGTATTTATAATTCCAAACCAAAGAGTCCTTTTTTTTATACTTGATGTAATTACGATTAATAATATTAGATGACAAAGACAAAGGTTTAACAGAATCTTCCAAGAACGAATTATCTGAATCAGAAATACCTAAAAAACGCCAAAGAAAGGCTGAAAGTGAGAATAGTAATTAATAATAATATTTTTTTATTTTAGCGATTTTTTTAGTGATTTTTTTAATCATTATTTTATTTGGTCTATTATCTTTTATTAGTCTCAAAAGAATCCGTTCGCGCTTCATCTGCGTCAGATAATATCACTGATGCAGACTATATACAAGCCAATAATACTTATCTTACATCTGAAGAAGCAATTCAGCAACAAACATCAAACGACAACACGACGGATAAACTAGAAAACAATTCTGTTCAACTACAAAAACAACAAAATTTAACTTATGATCCTCAATATCAAAGGCAACCATCGATCCATGGCCATGGTACTAATACGTGTAGCACACCATTTGCTAACCATAATCAGCAAATGTATTGTTTTTTAGAATTACCTTGCGTAAATAAACGCGAAATTGAACCTTTAATTGATCCATCTCTTGAATTTTCAAATGAATCACAAAAATATAAACGGCCATTATGTTTGAATAATACATCATATATGAACGATTCATTATACCCTCCAAAAACTTACATGATAGCCAATCCTCTTTTCCTACCGTATTCTTCAAATCATGTTCCAAATTATTATGGTCAACACCAACATTATATTACCAATAATTCTCAAAATATTACTGAATCTCAACAAACACAAGTCAAACAACCAACTGTACTTTGCTCATCAGTTAATCATAGCAAGAGTACTAATGATCAACAAAACGGTCAAGGATTATTCTTTCCTAATGAAGCTGTACTCATTGAATGGTTGCGTACACGAGAGGATTTAATCTTACAAGTTCAACAAAGATCACTTGTATTTATTTTTATTATTAAATTGTTATTGAATTATTATTAAATTATATTTAAATAATTTTAAAATAATTATTGTATTTGCATTTTATTAGGGTGATACATTGGAACTACTCTTGGAACAATGTAAGCTCCTATTTTTACGAACGCGATATCCTCACAGTAAAGCACGTGAAACGCTTGTCGAGAAAATTGCTACTGCAATGGATCCTTCATCTGAAGATTTAATTTTATTGAAAAAAAAATCATACATATACTTTAATGGCTTTCGTTCTCAGTTTAATAGAGATATTGCATTTTTAGCTAAATCTTTGTTATCACAAAAGTCGTATGTATTTATCATATATTATATTTTATTTATCATTATTAATTATATTTTATTTATCATGTATATTAATTTAACTTATTCTTTTTTCTTTTTTTTTATTATTATTATTATAGTGATCCAACTGATGAAGATATTAAAAAATTCGTTGCGAATGATGTTTGGCAACAAAAGTTCAACAGATTTTTAGAAGTCACTAACTACGCCGAATTTAAGAAATCTACATCGTTCAAATCACTTGAAATCTTTGTGATTGAATGTTTAAAGATTCATATTGCATATTTAATTGCTGTTCGCAATAAAGAAAAACCTTCTTATCAGGAAGATGTTCTAGATAAGATTAAATCACTCAATCAACTTACTGCACATATATATATTCCAGTTGCAAATAACTATAATTACGTTAATGAGTTGGATCTTGATAATAACGATGATTAAAGATTTAAAATAATATTCAAACGCTTGTATTCATTGAATTTGTATTTAGTTTGAGTTGCTAGTTTAATTGATAGTAATTATTTGCAATTTACGAAATTTATTTATCATGTTTTAATAGCTTTATCAGTTATTCAAATTCTTTTTTTAATATCTTGCAATAATGGAATTTATTTAATAATTTTATGCGTAAATAATGATCCGTAAAAAATAATAGAATAAGCAAATATTAAACGAAATTATTTTAAACAGTTTAAAAACTAAAAGTGCACATTTTTTTAATAATTTTTAAAATACAACTACCCATCTATTTTATTTAATGATTTCTGGTTTTTTTTTTTAATATGTAGCATTCAATATAGACTAACATGTCCGTCCCTCACAAAAATTGGTTCATTTCTAAATTTACATCGATAATTAATTATCACAATAAACCACTTTCTTTTAATAATAATAAATTTTTATAAAAAAAAGATTGCTTGCTTAACAGATTTATATTTATTTAATGAAAAAAATTTTTTAACCCTATTTAACGAGCTTATAATTTATTCACTAACCTTTTTTTATAATATGGAGCCGGAAGCTTATACTCTACAATCACATGAAATGTTTCAATTTCGCGTGATGCAATTAACTAATAAAATTAATGTATTTCGATTTTAACGTTAACCCTAGCTGCCGCTGCCTCCTATTAAGTGAATGAAAATAGTTACTGGGTCAATTTACCATAGTGCGGGCTTATTTTTAAATAATTTTTATTTTTGTAATATAATCAAAAAGTTAATTCCGGCCAGAAATTAGTAACCAATTTTAAAATGCGAGCCAAAATTTTGCAGATCACGGCCATTGGCCAACAAAGTCGAGAATCTGTCGTGACAATCCCGGCGGTATAAAAAGCGCTGTATTCTTATTAAAAAAAGCCGAACTAGGTTATTCTTTAATCGGTAAAAATTAAAGAATGACTCGGTCGATTAATATTTGTCAACGTTAATGATTGTATGTTCCGTGAGTAGTAATTAAAAAGTGAAAATGTATCAGCCATTTTTCACTATGCCAAAATAAAAAAATTTTCCTTTCAGGTCACATAGAGTTTTGAATGGTTTTTGGCATTATTAAATAACGATGAATTTACTCCTCAATATTTACAGTTAGACCAATATGACGAAATACTACATACGTACGTGCATAAATTACCTTGATGTTTAACAGAGCACAAAATTTCCGGGTGCTTTTTTGCCGACTATATATATTCTTTTTAATCGGAGGTTCAAATATAATAACCAATGAAATTTGTCTAAGTAACGTAAATTTTCCGACCGATCAGACGGAAATCTCCGAAATTTTACAATAGATTTTGTGCTCTGATGCTTAATACAAATCCAAGCCGTTGTTACCATCTAAGTTGGGACAGGTTTATAAGAGTATTTCTGTATTATGAGAAGGGTCAAAAAGGCATCCGATTTCTAATCTTTATTAAAGGTCTTTACATAATTTTGATAAGCATTTACAAATTCATTTTCATACTAACAAATCCTAAATGAATATATTTTCATACTAAATTAATAATCCCCTACTATAATCTTTATTTCGTAACACCGAACCAATATCCGGTTAACCTAGTTTCATTAATTTTTTGTCATTTAATTCGTACAAAAAAAACATTCCGAAATGAATTTTCCGCGTGTGAGCAAAAATATTTATCCTTGTGTATCTGTTCACGTGAATACATTTGGCATTCCAGTCACACCAAATGATTATAATAATAAATTTTCTTGTAAATATTTGTCCATAGAGTATAAGAAAAGTTTACTGAGTAGGATGTTAACCCCAAAAAAAATTGCACAAGAGTGATACGATAATCCACGGTAAAAGAAACTTATATCTGATATTTGTAAAATATGTACATACGTATATGTGTATATACTTTACCAGGAAAGTTTATTCTGCAAAATGTCCCTTCGTATTATTGAATCACTTAATGCTGTTGACTATCTGCTTATTATCTTCTTAACACTCCTTTCATACATTTTTTATTTTTATTATGATTACTTCACCCGCCCAAATCCATTTCCTGGTCCTTTACCTTTACCATTTGGACTAGAGGTATTAATTTTTTTTTAAAAAAGATTTTAGCAATGAATAAATTTTCAAGACTACAATATATTCACCAAATCATTTATAGCGCCTCTTTTTTGATGGTAACTTCAAACGCCTTATTGCAGACTTATATCAAAAATATGGAGATATTTGTGAATTCAGATTAGGTGGTTACAGAAGAATAGTTCTCTCTAAACCAGATTATTTTGAGAATTTATTACCTCTTTCAAAGAATTTGGCAATATTTACAAAACATGAATATTCACCGGGTGTAAATATGCTTGGAAATTTTGGACGAGGAATGTTTCTTAATAATAATTATGAAAGTTGGAAGATTAATAAATATTTTCTTTTACAATCAATTTCAACTCCTGGTTTTAATGAAGAAGTTATAAAAAGTACCATTGAATCATTTGAAAAATTGGATGGATATTGGAATTCACTTAAAGAATCTCAATCATGTGATGATGATTGGTTACAAATGGATCTTTTAAAATGGACAAGTAGATTTATGACTGATATTATTTCGACCATAACAACCGGTGAGCGAGGTTGTTCAATGGAAACTTATTATAATACATTTAATGATAAATCTAAACTTGAAAACTCTCCTTTTGATGATCCTAAATTATATAATTCTGATAAATTCACCCGAGCACTCGTGGCTTATACGAGAGGACTAGCGTCCTTTTATTATATTCATCCATTCTTTATACGTAATGTGCCTTATTATAAAAATAAGGCAAATATTCTTCAAAAAAACAAAGATTATGTAATAAAAACGTTGGATAGTATGATCGAAAGGAGAAAATTCGATTTTGCAAATACTCCTCAGAAATTAAAGTCAAAAAATGATTTATTAACTCTTCTTATTAATCATGATGCAAAGAGTAAGATGGTTGAGTCTTTATCTGATGAAAATATTAGAGCACTTTTATGTGACACTTTTATGGCTGGATCTGATACAGTATGTTTAATTGTTTAAATTCAATTTCATTATATTTATCATTAATATATTGTTCACTTATTATTAATCTTTATGTTTACACACAACTTAACTTTTTTTTTTTTATTACAGACTTCAAACACATTATGTTACATAATTTATTATATTTGTCATAATCCACACGTAAAACAAAAAATGTTTGATGAAATTGATTCAGTTTTTCCTAATAATTCTTCTGGCACATTATGTATAACCACCGATCATCTTGAAAAACTCAAGTATTGTGAAGCAATAATTAAAGAAACTTCTCGTATTGTACCAACGTTGCCAGTAGCAAAAAGAATTACAACTGCAGAATGTGAAGTTGCTGGGTACAAATGGCCAGCCAAAATTGTATTTCACTTAAATTATATTGGCATTCATATGAATGAGAAATATTGGAAAAATCCTACTGATTTTGATCCGGATAGGTTTTATTTACAAAATGATTTGAGTGAATTTAATGAAGATTTAACCAATTTTACCAATTTTGATAAAGAGAATAAAAAGTCTATTCATGCTAAGGATAAATTTTCGTTAGTTATTTTTGGTGGTGGTATAAGAATATGTCCTGGAAAAAGGTTAGCAATGATTAATATATTAACTTTTATGGCATTAATGTTTAAAAAATATGATGTAGAAGTAATGGATATAGAAGCCCCATTGAAAACGAATACTGCTTTCGTTACTAATTGTGTAGAATTGAAAGTCAAAATTAAACCTAGGAAACCATCATTGTAATTTATATAATTTATTATTTTATTTAAACCAACCCCTTATTATTTATATTTCGTAATGATTTGTAGTATATCTAATATAAAATTCTATTAAGGCTTTTTTATTCATCTCTTTTATACATTCCAATCATTTTATTAATCCCTTATACATTTTACTTGTACTTTTTTTTTTTTGGTAATGCTTGTACTAGTGTGAATAGTATTACCATTACAAGTAGTGAATCTGATTTTTTTTTTTTTAATAAATTCTCAGTCAAAGATTGTCAAAACATTTGCCAAGCTTTCTGAATTTTAAAAATCTTCTAATTTAACGTTTAACGTTTAATTACATAAATGTTAGGATTAGGGCCACTTTGAGGTTAGATTTAAGAGAGCCTATAGGTAGAATCGCCTCCCTGGCATTTTTTATTAATGCATCAAAGTAGGGTTGGACTACCGTTTCTTGTATTTTCGTATTTTTCTCTTTTTTTTCGCTTATTTGAGGCAATTAAAGTCAGTCACATCATCGATATTGATTAACGTTAGGGATAGGGTCCACTAAGAGTAAATCCGGAGTAGTGATGTAAGACGGCTCTGCAGAACCATAAGCCGATCAGCTCAGCCGAGCAATATAACGGCTCGGCTTGCGTTACGTGGAGCCGGTTTAGAACCGTGAGCCGATTAATGACTATAATATGTCGTAACCATAACTAATATAGTAAACTTTCGTATTGATAATAAACTTTCATATTTATAATAAACTATTACAATATTTCTTATAATGATCTTCCCTTTCTTATATTATTTCCCAAAATTCACAAGACACTTTGCAAGAAACTTCTGAGGATGAGCTCACTCAATATTCGAACGAAGCTATTTAACCAATGAATGTTAATTCACTGGAGTGGTGGAAACTAAACAGTTTTCGCTTTTCTGGTGTGTCCCGAATGGCCAAGGATTTTCTCGCAATCAAGCAACTTCGGTGCCTTCTGAACAAATATTTTCAAAGGCAGGGGACACAGTTCAGGCTAAACGTGTACGCCTTTCTGAAAAAGCGTCAACATTAAGTTTCGAAACTGATGCTTTTTAAAAAATTTGATTCCATTTTTATTTTTTAAAAAAAAAATTATTTAAAAAAAAATATTTTTTAAAAGATTTCTTTTCTTTCAAAAAAATGTTTTTTTTTATATAATATGTTTCTATATTATCGTTGCTTTGCACATTTGCAAATTATAATTACTGAAATATCTGTACATGTGTTAACGCTGAATTCAATTGAAAATAAAATTTCTATAACAATACAATTTAGAGCTGTCGGTTCTTGAACGGGTAGCTAAAAAATGGCTTAGCTAAAATACGGCTCGACTCTGTTATAGCCAGTGTTAATCTGCGTGTTACCTCTCAAAATAAGGTTAACGGTTCAACTATTAACAGGGAGTCACGAAAACCGTGCGGTGATTTATTATAGTTGTAAGTATACAGGCGAGAGGGTTTTAGTTTAGTTATGTGATTTGGCAATACGAAAGAGTACGTGTATGCAATTTTTATAGAATCAAATAAAGAGTGTCCTTTATTAAAAGAGTATATTTATTATTTATGATAATGCCTTGGCAAGCATACCTACAAAGTGGAGCGAAACTCGCCCATATATATAATAAAACAACTACTAATAAGCACATATGCTCTTTGAGCTATTAATGTTCCAACCACTATAAACATTCTTAATATCCCTTATACCTCTTATATCCCTTGATCTATTTAATTCCCTTGTGCTATAACCGGCACATGTGGCACATGGGGCACATTTGGTATATTTGGCATAGTAAACCCGTGACTCATACCCTCATGACATAATAGTTTAGGCTGGTGTTGGATTAGAACTACCCCAGTAGCACTGATAGATTTTCACTGATCGACACCAATCAGATTTGATCAAAACAACAACTTTTAAAATAACAAAACATTATACTAGGCTTAGGTTTTGATCTTATGATCGCATCAGAGCTCTTTTTATACCAAAATTTGGCAAGAAATTTTTTTTACTAATGCACAGTAAGTAGTTTCATATATAAAATTTTGAGTTATTTGCTATTTTTAAAAATTTTTAAAAAAACACATGATTAATCTCACTCAAGTCTGTTCTAACCTATTGCTAGCCACTTGGGAAGGCAAGTTATACAAGAAACCCAAATTTTCATGCTACATCTGATCTTAAAATCTAATTGGTCAATTTATGCCGATCAGTAAAAATCTGTCAGTGCTACTGGGGTAGTTGTTGGATTAGCAAGGGTAACACTAGCTGTTAGCTGAGTGAAGCCGGTAATTTGCATTACTAATCATAATCTAGTGCATAAATTTATTTGCCGACATTATAATTAATAATTAATATAATAATGATGACATTTGATTAATAAATAATAATAACAATAATTTCAAAATAGAAAATATGAATCAATTTTGTTTGTCTTGTTGAATTATGAAACCAAATACTGCATTTCAAAATAATAAAATATGCATTGAATGTTCAAACTGCATAAATGAAAAAAAAAGAAAATGTGAGGATCAAATTTTAAACGATATTTGCAAGCAAAAAGATAATACTACAGTATAAAATCTAAAGAGCTTAAATATCCGAAATACCTGATAAATTGGCTAAATGATTTTTTAGCTGATTCAATTAAGTTTGAAATTTTAGCATAATCCATATTACAGATCATTGTAACAATAATGTCAACATGTTTAGTGTATTAACAAGAAATATAAAAAAGGCACTATATATTAATTAGATAATTAGACTTATTGCATAAATTGGAATACATGTTAAAGGAAGATCCTGCATATAAATAAACTATTACTTTTATTTATATATACAAACAAGTTGTTTGTAGCCCTTCAAATTGGTATAAGCTAATTCTATCTCATACAAATACCAATCAGGTTTTTTTCCATTAAGTTTTAAAATATTTTGTATCAATCATGTTTAGTGAATATGATTTTCCTAAAGTAACAGAAACTTTTCAATACATCCATATTTAAAAGTACTTGAGAACCCAACTTATAAAAGATATACTAATACCTAAATATTTGAAATGATAGGTTATTTAAAATTTTTTAAACTATTTCTAGCAATAATGCTTTGAAAGTATTCCCCTATTTGGGTAGTTTTAACTCAGTGATATTTTTGGGATCATCACAACACATGATTAAGTGTTTGGCCTAAGTTAAAGTTAGTGTTAGAGTTAAGTGATAGAATAGTTTAGGCTAATTTTTAGTGCTAGTAAACAAGTGATGCGTGTAATATGATGATCACTGGGTTTGTGTTTTTGAAGTGTCCCTCACATTTCTGTATTTAACCAGAAATACAATATTTAGTAATATTAATATATTAATTACCTAAACTTAAATTACATAAATATCAATTTTATTGAATCTATTATGCCAAAATCACAAACTTATCAAATAGGCTAAAAAATCATTTGGCCAATTTTTATCAGGAGTTCTAGGAATTATAAAAATAGCTGTAATCCTCTTGGGGAGATAAATGTATCACTTTTTCCGAAGGTTTGTTATTATATATTTTTAAAAAAAATTCCAAATCTAACATTATTTTTAATTAGATACAATGAAATTTTCAATATTCTTTTATTGCTGTATTGTGAAAGCCAATAACATTTTATGGGAAAATATTCAATCATCAACATTAATAGGTGTAGTAACTTAGTGAAGTGGTGAAGTTGTCACACCTCCAAGCTAGTTTAGCCAAAGGTACTAAGTTCAAATCAAGGATGGTGATTTTCCGTAATTCACAGAACACTATAGAATTTCTCTTAATCACAGCCAAATAAAAAAATTACGCTTAGTCACTACAAAATATCACAGAATTTCAAAAAAATAGAGTTATGCACACTCATATGATTATCAATCAATCAAAAAGTGAATCTATATACCATGAATTGTGGTTCAGAACCATGGATTACCATCCTATCTTTTGCATCTCTTAAAAATAATTATTATGATTTTAAAACTTGTTTTTTAATAGTACTGTTGCTTATTCAGCCATATCATGTTATAAATCTTGTTTTTTCTATTTTTAAAGTTATCTTCATTGCAATATTCATATATTTTTATAATGCAATTGTTTTTTTTTATACAGTGTCTAAAAATATTAATATATAGAGAATAATGCAATAATATTAAATTCAAAAAATCAAGTTTAAACATGTTAAAGTTGATTATTTGAGACCTCTTTTGTTCAAGTTATTTGACTCTTAAATTTTTATTGAATCCAAAAATATCTAAATATTTAAAGTGTCTCATATATAAGATAGATGTTTAATATAATGTAACTGTTTTTTTTTTTTTTTTTTTTTTTTTTTTTTTTTTATTAATCTGTGTTTTTACTCTAATTTGTTTTTTAATTTTTATAATTATAGAAAGTAGGAAAAAAAGAAAA